GCGGCGCCGGCGGGGGGGGCGGGCCGCGACCATAGAGTGCGCGCCCAGGGGCCCCCGCCATAGAGCCCCAGCGGCGCGGAGCGCGCGGGCGCCGGGCTAGAGCGGCCGCCTGGAGCCGGCCCCGCCCGGCCGCACCACAGAGAGGAGGCGCCAGAGCGCCGCCCGCGGAACACGCGCGGCCACAGCGCCCCCCGCCGGTGGGAGGAGAGCGGGGCGGAGCGGGCGCGAACGCGCGCTGTGCGATCGGGAAAATCACGATATTGCCAATATTGCCAATATTGCCAATATTGCCAATATTACCGATAGTGCCGATATTCCAGGCACACGCGCGGGGAACCGGGCAGTGCGGCCGGGTTTTACCGGCAGGCCCCGGCCGGCTGGGACGGGCCGGGAGTGTGGGCGCGATTCCTCAGGGCTGCGCGGGTGGGGCTGAGGGGTTTAAGAAAGCAGCAGGTAACGGGGTTTGGCCCCTCTGGGGATTATTCCAGAGCGGGTTTTAGGAGCTCAGTAAGGTTTTGGGATCCAGTCGTTTGCCTCCTTTCATGGGACAGGTCCTCAGGCATCACTGGGGATCACAGGAAATTCAGTGTTCCCTGCAGCCAGGCACCTCGAGAACCTTGCACGGATTTTCAGAGGATCCCGGAATTGCTGAGGTTGAAAAATCCCTGCGAGAGCATCGAGTCCAACCTTGCCCTCAGCCCAGAGCATCCAGGAATTCCTTGGGCAGCTCCAGGGACGGCCCCTCCAAAGCGCGACCCTTCCCCTTTCCATGGGGAAATTCCTGCTGGTGTCCAACCTGAGCCTCCCCCTCCTCCTGTTCCCTGGGATAAAATCCCAAATCCCCCCCTGGCTGCCCCCTCCTGATCTCCTTTTCTCCAGGCTGAGTCCCTTTCCAGCTCCCCCGGGAATTCTCCAGCTCCTTCTGCTGCTCCATTCCCTTCTCTGATTCCCCAAAAACCCAAATTCCCAAAGCTACAGGTACAGGACACTGCCCAGCCCAGCTCCTTCACACCCCAGAGCTCCAAAACTTCTGGAAAATACAAGATACTTACAAGTTCTCCCTCTGCCCAGGATCAATTTTAACCCACGTTTTCTTCCTTAAAAATAAAATTCCTTCATGGAAAACAGCACTGGAAGGACTAAACAAGCAACCAGGCATCAATATTTATTAACACAAGACAAAGGAAACACAATCAATGCGTTAATGAGACACTGTCCAGCCAGGTGTTAAATTTAAAAATGTAACTAATCTAATTTTAAATAAATAAAACCTTTATACATAATTACAGAATGCCGGAGTCTGGATTGGACAATGGGAAAGAGGTCGACAGAAATAAAAAAAAAAAAAAAAAAAAAAAAAAAAAAAAAAAAAAAAAAAAAAAAAAAGAAATGCATCTAGGGCTAAAATTGATCTGGTTTTTATAACCTTATTTTAGGACAGTTAGTAGGACACAGCTGAATTGATTTAAACCAGAAATGAAGTGCAAATTCTAACAAAACAGGACAAAACTTTCCTGTCCCCCACAGCGTTTGCTCAGAGAAGATTCAGAAACAGTGAGACACACACAATGCTTTAGTCCAGTGGGAAGAATTCCCAGTTTTTCAGTTCCACTGCGGTTGTTAAGTTGCAACCTGAGGGACAAGAAAAGGGAATCAGGAGCCCTGTGGAGCCCCAGCAGCTGCTGTCACACGGAGGGGGAGAAGAGATTTCTTTGGGAAAAACACCCAGCCCTGCCCACCTGCCAATGTCTGCAGTGAAGGATCCTGCTTTGTTCCAAAAAATAAAAAAAAAAATAAAATAAAATATAGAAAGATGATCCCCAGCTCCAGAGGAAGGAGTGGAATGACCCCTGGAAGGCTCGTGGCAAGTGCTGAGCAGAGCTGGGGGTAGAATTTGGGGATTGCAGAGCCTCAGCTCCATCCTTGCTCCTCTCCAGAACAGGGACAAAGCACTCAGGGAATTCAGGGAAGCCAAACCGAGCAGCTTCTCCCTGTCCCTGGAATTTTCTCTCAATCCCACGGGGCAGGGCTGTGTCCTGCAGCTCTCCAGCACACACGAATGGAACGTGCTGGAAGATTTGGAGCACACAGGGAACTTGCAAGATAAAACCTCAAACCATAGGAAGCTATCAGTACCTATCCAAACTAAAAAATAAGGAGAAAAAAAAAAAAAAAAAAAAAAAAAAAAAAAAGATCAATCCAGTCACATTCAAAAATGCCATTTCAGGAATTCCATCTGCCACATTTGATGGAATTCAGACACACAATTGCTTTATTTGTGAAAAATCACGAATAAAAATAAAAGACAATCCTGGAATTGGACTTAAAAATCTACTTCAGTGGACAAAAAGTGTTTGTTGAAACAATTAATGTAAAGCTTTGAGAAAAGAAAAAGGTTCAAGACCACCCAGTTTTCCCTGGAAAGGTCACACTGGAGTGAAGCTGCTTGGCCAGGCCTGGGCTGTGCAGGAAACACAAAAATGGTGACAAAGAACATGGAATAACAAGAATTTTCTGGCTGAAAGGGGAGAACAACCTTTGTGCACTTTACACCCAAAATAAGCTGCAGGACCAACTGTTTTACTCACAGCCTGACCTGCCACTTGTCCCCACTTGGTGTTCAATTTGTTAAAACTAAATATATTGAAGATTTTGTGCATATTCTGCAGTGTTGGCTGTGGAAAACACAGACAAGGTTCCAAAATGTGCCCCTGAAACCCAAAGTGTTTGCAAAGAACCTTAAGCCCAGACCTGCCACAAAAACTTCCAGTTCCTATTCCCCCACCAAATATTTTTCAAAAATATCATTTGAAACTTCTTATCTGAGTTTTAAAGCTCCTGTTTTCAGTGAGGAACCACCAGGATGCAGCAGGAGCTTTTCGAGGACACAGCTGGGGTTTGCTCGTGGATCCACTGTTCCAGTAACTGCCACAGGATCTTCCAAAGTCCACACCATAAACCTTTTAAAAACTGCCTAAAAAACTTTGCGTGAGGTAATCTGGAACGTTTGAAAAGTTTATTTACACTGTATACCACATCTGACTCAAAAAAACCCTGTTGCAGGATCTGGTAGCAGCTCCCAAGGCTTCCAAAAAAAAAAAATCATATATTAGCACCCAGAGAAGTGTAATTGTTGTTAAAAGATGAAGAATTAAAAAAATAATAAAATAAAAAGATAATTCTGAGTCAAAGCTCAACCACCAGCTCTCCCCCAGCCCGTGTGGAGCTGCTTCCCAGCAGGAAAATCTTGTACCTGCTGCTGCTTTAAGGCTTCTTTTTCTTCCAATTCCCTAAAGTTGGAGCTGACACAGGATGTGGAAGGCTGGGATAACAATTTTCTCTATTTTGTGAACATTTTTGTGTTTGCCAGAATTCCTGTCTCCTCCTGGAAAAGAAAAAATTGTGTCTGACCTGAACCTGGAATTCTCCTGTTCTTTCAGGGAATGCTTTGAGGAGATTTTTGATTGCTCCCAGTTTCCACTAAAGCCTGTTCACAACAGTTCCTGCTCTGTCTGCAGGAATCCCAACAGAATGGAATCAGCAGGGAATTCACCTTGTGCCTGAGCAATGTTTTTTCCTTTCCACACCTGGTGTGGAATGTTCCTCACCAACCTGAGGAACGTTTTTCCTTTCCACACCTGGAGCCACAGGATGAGGCAGGGGCTGTCCCTCAGCTCCTTCTGGCACTTGCACTGCCATTCCTACCCCCAATTCCGTGCTGAACTCAGCCTCCTGGAGAAAAGATGTGCCTTAAAACCAAAGGGTTCTGCACACTCCTGGCCAGAATCAAGGTAACAAATGAAATCAGAAACCTGGGGGAGGTGGGAGCATCTCACATTGTGTCTAAGCCAATGCCAGGATGCTGAAGACCACAAAAGTCACCTGTCCTTAAAAGCATCAACCTTCAGCTGTCCTCACTAGCCAAGTTAATTTTCTATCTAAGTGAATTATGTATAATAATATTTACATATTTAAAATATAGGCAAAATTCTTTTTAAATTCCAGAAATCTCTATATGAATAAGTAACTCTGATTCTGTAAGTTATTGATTTGGTCATGGCACAATTGTCAATAAGTTTTGTGATCCCGTGGGGGTGTGAACAGCTCCAGATGCAAAGGAGATCATGGAGTAGGGAACTGCAGAACTCTGATGACCCTTTTCTTAATAGTTTATTATCTTAACTAAATAAACCCTCCCCTTATAGAATCCTAACCCGGGATTAGATAAAAATACAAATATGTACAACGGGTGAAAAAGTAACACTACTGTAAAGGCCTTGGGGATTTTGTAGCTCACACAATTTCCCACTTTGCAGTTCTCTAAAGCTCATGGTTCAGTAAACGCTTACAAACGTTTGCTGCTGCTTCCCACATTTCCTTCACCCCACTGGGACTGAAACCCCCAGCACGGGAGGGAGGGAGGGAGGGAGGGAATGTGGCGGCAACTTCAAACTTTAGATCAAGTATTAGTAATTTTTTTTTTCACCAGCTTCATTTCCATTAAGCACCCTCGTTCTCTCCGTGGTGCCATCACATGTTGTAGGCCACGTAAATGGGGTCCAGCTGATCTGCCAGGAAACTGTCCCGGAGGTGCATCCTTTGTTTCTCTCCTCGGGAATTGATGGGGATGACTCCAGGATCCACCACCACCACCACGCCCACAATCAAGTAATGCTCCTCCAGGACCACGTTGGTAACCAGAGGAACCAAATCCAGAGCCTCCTGCTCACAGCCACACAGCTCCACCACCACCACCAGCAGGTTGGTCCAGGTGAACACAGCACTGAAATGACCAAGGGAAAACAACACAAAACCCGGTTATTGCCACCAAGATCCAAAAGTTTTCAGTTCTTTATCCTTAGATGGGGGTTCCCACCTGCTCTGGGCTCCATTTCCAACCTAACTCCGACATGACTTGGTGCTGATGTGACAAAACCAGACCTATCTCAGCACTCCCTGTATGGGACAGGAACCAACACTGCTGTCACCAACTCGGGAATGGCTCTTTACACCCCAGACAAGGAAATCATCACTTCTGTGTTGAACTCTGAGAAAACACTGAGCCTGTTTTCATCTGCAGCTGGGAAATCGGGTGTATGACTTGCTGATGGCAACACAAAAAACCCGAATTTCCCGATTTATTTTTTTTTCCCCCCAGATAAAATGCTGCGTTTTTTCCCCCCCCCGATTCATTTTTCACATAAAACCCTGCGTATTTCTGCTACATTTCAGCTGGGCTGGGACGGCTGCACTCCTCAGGACAGTTGTTACCATTCAGCAATGCTCCTGTGGGTTCGGGACACCGAGGTCTCGATGTCGATGGGGTGGTAGCGCAGCCCCCGCAGCTCCAGAGTCTCATCCAGGGCTCCCACGACGTACAGGGCATCGTGGCGCTCTGGGACAGAGGGCACGAGGGTCACAAACGGCATTTGGATAAAGCAGATTTGTCTCTTGGGTAAGATGAGGAATCCCAGAGTGGTTTGTATTGGAAGGGACCTTAAATCCCATCCAGTGCCAGCCCTGCCGTGGCAGGGACACCTTCCCCTGTCCCCAGGCTGCTCCAAGCCCTGTCCAGCCCGGCCTTGGGCACTGCCAGGGATCCAGGGGCACCCACAGCTTCTCTGGGCACCCTGTGCCAGGGCCTCAGCACCCTCACAGGGAGGAATTTCTTTCCAATATCCCCTCTAACCCTGCCAGCTGTGCCCAGGTCCCTGCCAGCTGTGCCCAGGTCCCTGCCAGCTGTGCCCAGGTGCAGCCTTTGGTTAAACCATGGCTTTCCAACGGGAATATCCAGGATGCCCTGGGCTCTGTGAGCTGTGCCCAGGCCCCTGCCAGCTGTGCTCCTGCCATGTGCCCAGCCCCTGCCATGTGCCCAGGTCCCTTCCAGCCGTGCCCCGTGCACATGGCCAGCACCTGCCAGCCATGCCCAGCCCCTTCCATGTGCCTATAACCCCTTCCACGTGCCCATGCTCCTGCCAGCTGTGCCCCGTGCCCGTGGCCAGCCCCTTCCACGTGCCCATGCTCCTGCCAGCCGTGCCCCTTCCATGTGCCCAGTCCCTGTCAGCCATGCCCCGTGCCCGTGCCCCGTGGCCAGCCCCTTCCATGTGCTCGTGCCCAGCCGTGCCCTGTGCCCAGCCATGCCCTGTGCCCGTGGCCAGCCCCTTCCATGTGCCTGTGCCCAGCCATGCCCGTGCCCAGCCATGCCCTGTGCCCGTGGCCAGCCCCTTCCATGTGCCTGTGCCCAGCCATGCCCGTGCCCAGTCATGCCCTGTGCCCATGCCCAGCCCCTTCCACGTGCCCGTGGCCAGCTGTGCCCTGTGCCCAGCCATGCCCATGCTCAGCCATGCCAATCCCAGCCGTGCCCTGTGCCCGTGCCCAGCCGTGCCCATGGCCAGCCCCTTCCATGTGCCCATGGCCAGCCCCTTCCACGTGCCCATGCCCAGCCATGCCCTGTGCCCGTGGCCAGCCCCTTCCATGTGCCCGTGGCCAGCCCCTTCCAGGTGCCCGTGGGCAGCCCCTTCCACGTGCCCGTGGGCAGCCGTGCCCTGTGCCCATGCCCAGCCGTGCCCTGTGCCCGTGCCCAGCCATGCTCTGTGCCCGTGCCCAGCCATGCTCTGTGCCCGTGCCCAGCCATGCTCTGTGCCCGTGCCCAGCCCCTTCCACGTGCCCGTGGCCAGCCGTGCCCATGCCCAGCCCCTTCCAGGTGCCCATGCCCAGCCCCTTCCAGGTGCCCATGCCCAGCCCCTTCCAGGTGCCCATGCCCAGCCCCACCTCCGCTGGCCGCCGTGAGCTCGGTGCGCCGCACGAATCCCAGGTACCCGGTGCGAGCCCAGAGCGTCTGCGCCGCGTCGCCGAAGCTCAGGCGGGTGTTGAAGTGGTCGGCCTGCAGAGTCTCGTTGTCGTAGATGGTGTAGTAGCCACTGGCTGTGTGGGGGCTGTTCACCCAAATCTGTGCAGGGAGTTGTGGGGGGGGGGAAATGTCAGATCCTGGCATTGCCCACCCGGAGCATCAGCTCAGGGGGTAACGTGGTGTGGGGTAAAGAAATTCTAACAAGGAGGTTCTGGTTTTATCTGGGATTTTTCAGGTCAAAAATGCATCTTGAGAGCTGCTCTTGTTGTAACTGTGAGGATTCACCAAGTAAATAGTGACTTTTTAACATGTCAAGTGCAAAACTGGATAATAATCCATCAACACAGATCAATATATTGGTCTGTAATCAGGACAATGAAAGCCAAATGTCAATTATACTATTTAAGAGCCAGTTTGCAATATTGAGGGTGAAACAAGCTTCTTTTTAAGTGGATTTTCTTTAAACTTGACAGTGAAATAATACCCAAATTCTAAATACTCCAGCAATAATTCATTTTACAAAGGCCTGTATCACAGCTCCAAACTGTCCCCCAGCAGAGAAAAGCCCAAGGAGCAAAACCTGCACTTACCTCCCCAAGGTGAGAATCTCCCAGAGGCCCCTTTGTCTCTGGATTGACAATGACCACTTTGACTCCAGGCAGAATCTGAAGAGCACAAGGAGGAAATGCCCACATTTCTGTTGTGGTTTATTTACTGCAATATGGAAGAATTTCCCCAACAGTTCCAGCAAAACACACTCCCAGATCAATGGGTAATTCCTTATAAACCAAACTGAACTTCCAGAGGGACAGGACTGTCACAGGACTGTCCTTCCCAGCTACAGCACAAGGGAAGAGGGGACATTTGAACTGGGGACACACGGAATTACCTTCCCAGACTCAGAGAGCAGCAGGCTCTGAGGAGCTCCTCGTTCCACCAGACGAACTCTGAAGGTAAAGAAAAAAATATCATCAGGGTAAAAAAAAAAAAAAAAAAAAAAAAAAAGCTGAAAACTCAGCACCACTACAGGGTTTTACAGAGTTAATAAATTGGTTTAAGTGAACTTACAGTACCTGTCATGTCTCAAGGATTTCAGGTCTACATACACCGTGGTGGGATCAGGCCCTGATGTTCCCTGAGGAGGAGTTAATATTTAAAAACCATTAATGAATTTAGAGCAGTCAGGGTAATTTCTGCCTGAACCCAGAAACATTTCCAGGGGTTTCTTGCAGCAAAATTCCTGCTCATATTCCCCCACCCTTCAGTAAGCAGGTGACTTTCTGGAACACCTGTATGGGAAGGAGCCTTGGGGAAGGGGGAGACACCCCAAGCCCTCTCGGCCACCAGGCTCTGTTTATGTGGGAATAAACAGCTCAGATTCATGTTCCACTTGTTTTGAGCATCTGTGATACGATTTGGCAGCTGAAAAAAACGAGAGAAGCAGCTTAAATCTTGTGCCAGCTGTTCTCTGCAGGGCAGATGTTGAACTTCAGGAACGCGTGCAGATGGAATAAAACCGAGCCTGGCATCTGCAATCTGCTGCCAGTGACACACACAAAAAAAAAAAAAAATAAAAAAAGCCCTGGGAAGCCTCACCTGTAAACAGATGGCCACGTTGACCCGTGAGCCAAAGGTGGTGCTGACAGCTCGGGGTGAGAGCCCGATGTCCTTGAAGAGTTTGGAGAAGGAATGAGTGAGGGCAACGCGCGGCCGCTCCTCGGCCACCACCACGCAGGTCCTCACACAGGACAGGTTAATGCCTCGGGCCTGCACACACAAAAAAACAGGAGCCAAAGGGCTGCTAAAGGTGTTCCCTGCACCAGTTCATCAATGGCTTGCCTTCGTTTTCTTCTGTCTTTGCTCAGAGTTAGGGTTAAAACACGAAGGAGATGAATTCCTCGTGTTCGGGTTTTGGTTGTTTATTAAATTTTATCTGAAGTACAGAGAGTTCTGCAACACTTTTAGCTATCAGCTAAAAGTGAGAAAATGAAGCTGAATGTAGCTAGCTTCAAAGTCTTTTAAAGCTAAACAGCCCAATAAAGAACTAACATCATATTATTTATACTTTTGACTCAATAACCAAACTCCTGTGACCCACAGTGCAGCACAGACTGTCCAACCAGAAAATACTGCCTGAAACCATGGAGAAGGAAGAAGAACACAGAAAGAAATAACACCCAAAAATCCTCCATCTTGTCCCATACCTATTACCACATTCTGAAAACCCCAGATTTAAAACCTTTCACCATGTGAAACCACACATTTCTATTTAACTACACACCCGTGATTTTAACTCCATCACTCGAATTTGGAATCCTTCTCCAAGGCCTCAGGTCAAAAGCAGTGTTCTCTAGGGGGTCAGTGCCAGAAAACACAGAAAGCTCAAAAATCCCAGGTTTTTGAGATCCAACAGCTGGAGGTGTTCATCTGACCCCTCTCAAGTTGTTTCTTATCCCTTGAAATGACTCAGGAAATGCAGCACAAACTCAGTCCCTGTGTTCCAAGTTCCTTTGCCTTTTTCTGATTCTGTTTCTAACTCTAAATTGTGTCTGAGCAGAGCCTGGAAATGCAGCCAGAGCAAGACATGGGCTGAGGGTGCTCCTTCCTCTGGCCCAGCTCTGCTCAGCTGAGATTACACCTGTGAGTCACTGCTCAGACAGATGGAAACCAAAGCCAGGCAGGATAAATTCATCCACTGGGACTGCACTGACTCCTCGACAACACTGGGAGACCTGGATCCATTTTTATTTCTATGCTGAATGCTCTGAGCAGCACCAGGCAGGTGCTGCTCACCTGGTGCCACCCAGAGAACAGGGCTGAGCCACAATTCCAGGAAATCCCAGGGAAAAAAAGCCACCTCAGGCATGGCATGGAGCTATTTTTTTTTTCCCCTTTCTCTCATCTCCAAGGAGAACACAGCTCCATTGAGCAGCTCTCCTGGCATGTGCTTTCCATCATGTGCTGGTGTGAGCCTCCACTGCAGGCTGTTACATAAAAAAAAATCTCTGCAGAGCAGTGCTGGGATCCTCCCTGCTCAGGGACATTCCCTGGCTCCCTGCTCTTCCCAGCCCTCTCCTCTCCTGAGGCTGCAGCTTTTGGAGATTTGCTTTTGCAGCACCTCTAACCTGGAGATTTGTATCAGTGTTTAATCATCTTATCACTTTGCTTTACTATCAGAGTTTCCTTAATTTATGTAACATAAATCTCTGGAAATGTTTCTTACCTTTAACATTTCAACTTGGTTTCCAAGTCCCTTTGTACACAGTTCCATGACTGAATAGGAACAGAAAGTGTCCCTTATTTTATACTGGCTGACAGTAGATAACCAGAGAAAAAGATTGGATTCCAGCTCCATAGGAGGAATTAAAATTGACTGATGTCCAGAATACACACTGTGAAGAACGTTAAGGGAGAAAACATTTTAGTGAAGCTTGTAGTTATCTTTAAATTAATATTTATTGCATTTGCACATTCCATTCCTGCTAGTCCAAAGGCAGGTTGTGGGACTGCAGCTGAGGCAAACTGGAGCAGCAGCATTTTAAAAATGCAACTTACTGTACAAAAATAACAATTTATCCACACACAAACACACACTGACAGTGAAGGAAGAGAACTGGCTCAACCCCACACAGAACAAAAACTCCCTTATTGTAACATGTAATCAAGGAAGAAAGGGAAGAGAAACATTCTGAAGCCAGGAATATTTGGCAGCACAAACACACATAATCAAGATGGGATAACATCTTGCTAATCTGCAGCAAAAGGGAACATGTTGTCGTCAGTTCAAAGACAAATTTCCCCTTATTGTAAATTAAGTCATTCTGTAATGTCAGCACGTCTGTAATTACACCCAGAAGGATCCATTTCCCATTTCCCATTTCCAACCAGCCAAGAGCTCATCTTGGCCCTTTCCCCCCCAGCAAATCCTACCTGCAAAGGCACCAGAGCACAAATCCCAGCCCGCAGTAGGGGTCCAGACAAATGGCAATCTGCCGTGAGGAGTAGAGCTCACACTGCAGCTTGATGGCCCTGCACAGGCCACTGACAGCAGCATGGGACATCTGCAACACAGGGGACACTGCTGGGAGCCCAGGACACCAGCCAGGGCTCCCCCAGCACGGGCAGATGACACCAAAGGCAGCCCATGGAGAGCTGCTCTGAAGGCAAAGCTGTGGTTTGGCTCCTGAGCTTCCCTATCAGCACAGCCCTGTCACCAACGGGGGACAGCAACAGCTGAACCTGAAGCTGTTGTTGGAGTTCACCTCAACACGAGGAAGAACTTTCCATGGAGGTGGCACAGCACTGCAGCAGCTGTCCCGGGTGGTTGTGGAGTTTTCCTCTCTGGAGACACTCCAAACCCACCTGGGCACGTTCCTGTGTCACCTGCTCCAGGTGACCCTGCCTTGGACTGGGGGATCTCCAGAGGTTCCTTCCAACCCTGCCCATCCTGGGATTCCAATCCCAGTCACACATGAGCATTAACAACAGTCTAAGGCTTTCCTTTTTAGTTTCTTATCCTCTTTTTTCTGACTGCATCCCTATCCTGCTCTCCCAGGGCAGCTTTCCAGCAGCAGAATTCCTGATCCCACTCTGAGATCTCTTTTCCTCCATGGCAGAACTGACCCAGAACTGAAGCCCACAGCTTTGTTAGAAGAAAATCGGGGTTTTGTTTAAGCCACAAGTTGGAGGTGGAGGTCAAGGGGAGGTGGCTCAGAGGGTCAGGCAAAGACAAGATACAAAAGCCCATCTCCTAACCCCTTACTATACCTTTACTCCTGTGAGCATGCCTGTTGTGGAAACACTAAAATCCAGATATGCCAACATTTCAGGTGTGGGTGGCTTGTAGATCTGGGCCAGTCGCTTCCTGGGCAAGTCATCTGTGCAAGAAGAAACAAATGGGTTCATTTGGGTTTCTCTACTGGTGTTTGAAAGGAGAACACCAATTTCAAAACCACCAGAGATGGAATAGAAAGCTTTCTATTAATTCTCTTTCCAGAAGAGACAGGTTAGTGTATGGCAAAACTCTTGCCAAAGCTCCCACATAGAAAATTATTTCTTCTCAGGAAAAGGAAGAAAAGAGCAACTCGCCTTTGTCTTAAGCAGATTAAAGTTGTCTCCAGCAATCACTGCTGTCACTGCAATCACTTCCCATGCACAGCTCAATACAGAAGAGCTCTCAGTGGACAAGGGCACATCTTGGATAACTTTTGCACACATTCAAACAAATTTTCAAGAGCCCCTCAATGAAATGGGGGACAGTCCCTTTGGAAGTCACCAGTCACTCCTCCAGAGAACTTCAAGGAGCCTCCTGGCCCTGGGAGCTCACCTGTGTCGATGATGGTTGGCCAGGTTTTCACATCCACAGCCCCAGCTGCCTCTCTGGACTTGAGCAGCCTCATCAAGGTCTGGGTTGTGAGGATACAGGCAGCTTTGCTGACCTGCAAAGATGAACACTCACTGAAACAAAGAGGCAGCAGCACTGCCACTGCAAGAGCTGATCTTCTTCTTTTATCTGCAGCAAATTCCTTCCAGCAAACCTGAATTCCTTTCTCTGGTTTTTGCACACTCTGCTCTGCTTCCCCTTCACCAAACCCCCAGTGCAGCCCAGCCTGCACAAACCCTGTCAGAGCCTCTGGAGCAGGTGAGAAGGTGTCACAGCAAGATCCAGCTTTCTGCCCCATGGTGTCTCCTGGCCTTGGGAAGTGATTTAACTGCAGGATTTGGACTTCCCCAGCAATAAGGAGCATCCAGGTGAAATTTTGGGTGGCAGCATCATGTTGGTGTTCTCAGCAAGCATCTGCACTGTGCCTGTGATTCCCTCTGGCATTTTATGAAGGAGAACACTGTCCCTCAGCTCCCAGACGTGTCTGGATCCCTCTCACACAGACACAGGTGACCCCCGGAGCAGGAAGCTGCAGCAGCAATGCTCAGTGACATTTCTTGTCACCCCTGCAGCCCTTGAGCAATGCAGCACAGTCCCTGTGACCCAGTGTCACCCCTGGAGCAGCAATGCTCAGTGACACTCCTGTGTCACCCCTGCAGCCCTCGAGCACTCCAGCCCAGTCCCTGTGACCCAGTGTCACCCCTGTCACTCACCTCCACGATCATCCTCACTGTGGGCAGTGTTGCCACCAGGCTCTGGGCGTGGGGAGGGCGCACGGTGACAGGGACACAGCCCGAGTACAGGCAGCCATAGAAGGCTGTGATGAGCTCGATGCCTGCAAGGACACGACAGGGGGACACTGAGGAGGGACACCCTGGGCACAGCTGGGCACTGCTGTTCCTGCTAGGGGATAAGGGAAACACCTCCACGGCACAGGTGAGCAACAGCAGCAGCCCAGCACCAAGGGCAGCACGAGGAAGCTGAGAAAGTTTGGGATAGAGAATGGGGAAACCACACAGGAAATCATCTCCATCACGCAGGAAAAGAACATCCTGAGTGCCAGATGGCTCAAAAGTCACTCAGGACACACCAGTGAGCACCCCTCACTAGCACTGAGTGCCTTTCCTGTATTTCCAGATCCCAGTGAGATGCCAAAGAGAGCCCAGGCTGCGTTTCCCCAGTGGGACTCACTCACCAGGAGGATAAAGAAGCACCACATTGTCTCCTGCATTGAGATGGCCTTTGTCACACAGCACTGAGGCAATTCTCTCAGCCTTTTTGTGCAGCTGGAGGCAGGTGGCTGTGCACACAGTGGTTCCCTTGAAAGGAGACAAAAATGCTCTCAACAGGGGCTGGCACAACACAAACTGGCTGCTGTGAGGTAAACCCAAGCTTGCTGGCTAGCAGGAGGCTACAGCTATGAGTTATCTCTACCTAAAGGCTGCTGGCACCCCTCATCCACTACAGTATCAAAGGACACAGATGGAGTTAGAGCTGCTCTAGAAAAATTCTACCTTCCAGGGAGTCAGTTCAGGTCTTCTTGCACCAGAACTTTGCCAGAATATACTCAACACCATTGAAAGGGATGGTGGCACCAAGGGACACACCATTAACTGACACAGGAACCAGTGGGACCTACAAACATGCTCAGTTTTAAAATGAAGTGTTGAACCATGAGAGTCACCTGCTGAAGGGACCTAGAGGGTCAAAGGGTCAAGTTTTAACACAAATGGGCAAAATCTGATATAGAGGCAAAAGAGAGGCACTGCAGAGGGCAAAAGATTTTAAAGACTTTCTAACTGGCACCGGGTAACACGTGGACCTTAAAACCCAACAACTCAGCACTGACTGTACCTTGGCATTCAATAAAAGGAAGAGTGGGTGGTCAGGAGTCGCTTGAGCTCTCCACTGCAACACTTCTGTCAGGAACTGGTGCTGGAGGAGACAGACAGGAATTCAACAATTCTCCTTCAGTGCTTCCCACTGCAGCTCTGCACCCGGGGAGGGGGAAACTCCTTCCCATTCTCCAGCTGTCACAAACACTGATTTACCTTTTTAACTAAATCATTGTCTTCTATTTGACCCAGATCTCTCCCAGAGGCTTGAGCGATTCTCTTCCCAGCAACCAGGTTCCCCACCATCACAGAGGCAGGGCCCACACCTACGGAGAGACACCAGCACTTTGGGAAGGGGCAGAGCAAAGGCACAGAGAGTCCCTGCAGGATCCCAGTGCCCCCGGCCATGCAGCCTCACTGATGGAGTTCAGCAGGCACTGCTGGTCTCCCCCAGTGGAGTTCAAAGGCAGGAGTCAGAATTCCTGACTAACACACGCAAAGAGAGGCCTGGAACACACCCCAGCCACGGGGCACAAGGCAGGGACTGGTCCCCAGCACGTGGGACTGGGACATCACTGGGGCTGAGGCGCTGAGCCCCAGTTTAACACCACCAAACAAAAAGGGGTTCAGCTTACCTGGCTGTTTCTGCCTGGGCTTTGGCAAGTTTGTCACACAAGTGTGTGGGCACATGAGGATGTTGCAGGGGTGCAGAGAGCCCTCCAGAAAGTGCTGCTTGGTTTGGGAGATGTGGATCCCTCCCAGAGGAGTTTTTGGCAATGTGTTGGCTGGCACCAGAGCAAGGCAGTAAACACCCACTTGGTGAATGCTGTCAATAGCCTGGAGGAAGGAGAGATGGTCACTGGCATTCCTGGCACTGCAGGACACAGCCTGCCGTGCTGATGCACTGACACACTGCGAGACAAATCCCCGGGCTTGGGAGGTGCCAGAGGAGTGAGTCAATCACTGACATCCCATTGCACCTCTGTGCCACCAGCCCTGCAGTGAGCCTGAAGTGCTGGGTACATCCCTGCCTTCCCAGCCTATTTCCCAGACACCAAATCCATTTTTAAATCTTTTCATGACCAAAATCCCAAAATATCCCCAGTTGCCTGATGAATCACACGGTTGTGATCTCGGGATTGTATCCATCTGTCTCCTCTGAACCATCACACTCTGTTCCCTCCTGCCCGCCTCAGCACTCAGACATCTGATCCATTATTCAGAGCATCAGGTACTTCCCTGATTTTCCACCCCAGCCTGCACACTTCACTCCCTGAATGTCATTCCTGGAATGACACACATGCAGTGCAGGCAGCTCTCAAAGGAAGTACTTGCTGCTCGTTCTTTTAGGACCACACTCATTCAGCTGAAAATGCATCTCCAAAGAAAAGGGTGGCTTTAAAGCCAAGCTCTGAGCTCCACATGATCCAGACTAAAAGCAGAACTCCAAAGCTTGAGCACAGATCTGCTCTGCAGTTCTGAGAGGAGCTGCCAGAGCCCCTCTGCTCTCCCATGGAATCCCAGATTGGTTGAGGAATTTCTTCCCAAAATTTAACTTAAATTTCTCCTCTTTCCGTCTGAAGCCATTCCCCTTTGTCCTGTCGCTCCAGCTCCCTCAGGACACAACAAGAACAGCTTGGAGACACAGCAGGTGCACCCAGCCTTGTGCCAAGAGGGATGCAAAGCTTGTGGCACCTCCATCCCTGGGCTCTCTGCTCTGCCCACACCCCAAAACCGGCAGCATTTCCCTGGCTGTACCTGCAGAACTCGACTCATCCACTGGAAGCTGTCCTCCTCAGAGGCATCTGGCCTCTGCTCTGCCACCACCACGATCCTCTCGTCGTAGAACACAGACACAGAGAACACAGCAATCCTAAGGAAAAGGGCAGAGCCACACTCCAGTTTCACTCCTTGGAAACCAAGGAGAGATTAAAGGCACGACGCGTTAAAATAAACAAAAACAAGAGGAATTGTATCAGACAATTTACACTGAGTCAAAAGGAAAGACTGGGAAGTATTTAAGGGGTTAATTCCACTTTCTGATGAAATTTCCATATGGCACAGTCCCCCGTTCTCCCAACCTGCTGTCACATTCCTGTTCCAACTTCTGGCAAAGCACAAATGAAAGGAGATTTAAAGGCACCTACATGATGGTTTAAAATCTCTCACTAAGTCTCAGAGATACGAGCTCCAGCCCTGCCTGAAGATCTAGAAAATGATATCCACCACTGCTAAACAAAAATCAAATCTCTTTGGACAGTAATGAAACTCTTCCTTGCAGCACCAGCCAGCAGCTAACAACTGCAACTCTGCAGAGACACAGAATTAATTTCTCCATGTGGCTGACTTATCTTGTTACTTGATTGCTTTCCCTAAAGCACAGACTTGATGAAAAGCCAGGCTGGATAGTGGGAAAAAGATCTGGGCAGAATCAGGGCAATTACTAAATCAAAAATATGTTTACTTTAACTGAGCTACCCAAAGAGAAATCCAAGAAAGCACTAAAGTTTTGCTTTATTACACGGGGAGGGAGAAGGTTTCTTGTGCTGACCTTCCTCTGTAAACTGTTTTTATGGACTCCACAGCCAGCCCAGTGGCCACGATGTCATCAGCATTGTGCCTTCTCCCACTCACAGTCAGCAATCCGTCCATTTTCCCAACCACAAACACCAAACTGCCCTGCAAGACAAGAAAGCAACTGTGAGGAACTCTTCTCACACATCCTCCCTCCTCCCCCCCCAAAAAAAAAAAAATTTTTTTTTTTTTTTGAAGCACTGCAGGGCCAGAGCAATGCAGGCTCTGAGCTGCCTCACGTACAGGTCCAACAAATCCCAGCAAGCCAGAACGGACGAAGGGAACTTCCCCCACTGGAGAGCCAGAGGAGCTCACAGGGATCACCTGCAACACAAGGGAGGGCATTGGAGGCAAAACAGTCCGAGAAAAAAACCTTCCCCACCCCAAAAACTGCACTGAAAGTGGGTGAAGGGAAGAGGAAAAGGGGAGGGAATTCTCGTGCAGGGTGGGAGATGTTTATGGAGGGGATTCTGAGCATCTCTAACTGCAAGGAGTTTTCCAGTGCATGTTTATAAAAAACAAAATTAACGCTTCAGTTACAAAAACCAAGGGGTTATAGAAGACCATCAGTTTTACACAGAAAATGGGGCAGGAAAGATGCATTCTGCTAGACATACCTCAAAAGTGTTCTTTGTCACTCCTGCCAGCCCATAGTACATCATTCCTCCTGCTCTGGAGCTCACACAGATTTCACCAATCTCATCTGTTTTACAGAGCTGGGGTGGCCCATCTGGTTTCACTATGCACATCATGCCTAGGACAAACGAGGCTTTGTTAAAATCAGCTCCAAACTTGGCCCTGTGTGAGAACCAACACATTAAATGGTGACAGAAATGACAGGGTCTGGCACCGAGGCTGATATGGGAGAGAACATTGACCCCTTCTGCTCCTAAAACATCCCCAAAAATATCTCTAAAGAGCCTCCTGCCTGTTTTTACCTCCTGGCATCACATGCCCAACGTCCTGGACAGTGAGAGCAGAGTTTTTATCTTCAGTGTTGACCCGAATCACTCCAAAACTCAGCCCGTTCATGGACAGGATGGCTCTGCCTGGCAAAGGGGCCCCGGGGACTCCAGGCCTGGCAAGGACACAGAATCAATAAATACACTCAAATCAGGCACCCAGCTCAGTGTTAGACTCAGATGGAGTTGGCACAGCAACAGAAATAGGTGTATTCAGGGTCTCTGCTTTGCAAAATGGTTTCAAAGTGGGATCCCCACCCAAAGGAGCCACGTTTTCATTCCCTAAGGAATTGTGTTCCTGGGCACTGCAGCTCCTGTGCCAGCTCATTCTCCCAGCCCATGGCAAAGCCCAGCTCCCAGGCCACAGGGCTGCCTCTTACACAAGGCAGAAAGAGAGCATGAGAATGTCCAATGGATCTCCAGGCTCATCTCAGATTCAGAACAGCTCCCGGGCTGCGGCAATCGGGAGCAGGAAAAGCAGCGCCCAGGCCCTGCTGAGCTGTCACACAGCCCAGAAATCACCTGCATCTCAGGAGGGAGATTTAACAGCTCAGTGCCTTGAGTACCCCAGCACACACAGCAAATGTCACAGGAGTTTATTACGGGCTTAAATCAACTATGACCAGCACAAGTGTGAACAAAGCCCAGCCTGGATGACTCAATCTGTTACCTCCGGATCGCCACGGTCATCGCTTCGGGGGAGGTGGCACAGGGACAAATCGCCTCTGGTTTGAGCCCATGGCTCTGAAACAAGCTCAGGAAGGCATCACACGAGGAAACAGACCCTAGGAAGAAAGAAAAGATGCCACTAGGACTTCACAGGTTTTGATTTCATGCCCATCTACAAGGAAGGGTCAGGAGGAGGATTTGGGGAATGACAAGAGGAAGCCTCAGGTTGTGCTGGGGAGGTTTAGGTTGGATATTAAGGAAAAACTCCTCACTCAAAGGATGGTCAGGCACTGGAAGAAGCCCAGACTGGATGTTCAGACATTGGATTCTGCCCCAGGAGGGATTTAAAGGATGTGTGGATGTGGCACTTGGGGACAGGGCTGAGTAGTGAACTAGGTTAAGAGTTGGATTCAATGATCTTAGAGGTCTTTTCCAACCTGAACAATCCCCCGATTTTATAAACACAGCCCCTCAACCAACTCTCCCAAAGCATGACAACACAAAAACCCTTTCCTTGTCCTGTGCTCTGCCCCAGAGCAGAGCTCTGCCCCAAAGCAGAGCTCCCCAGTGGTCTGGGGTCCCAGGGAGAGGGGCTGGCCCCGGGGGGCTGCAGGGAGACGCGTGGCAGGGGCTGTGGCACTCACAGGGGTTGGCGCCGTCGGTGACGATCAGCATCCTCAGCGAGCTCAGGCTCACGTCCCTTTGGTCCCGATGGGCCATCATGGCCCAGTGCAAGTCTCGACACTTCACCAGAGCAACCTTGGCTGCAGCCAACACAGAAACAACACCTCAGCACGAATCAGGGTGGTTTTTATCTAACTCACATGAGATGAGACCCACAAATGAGGGGAATTCTCACCTAATAAAAGAAGCTTTAAAGAACTGAACACACAATGGCATCTGCTGTGGCACTGCCACCACCTGAGCCGGGGTCTGTCATCGTCACAGCTCCTCCCCCAGTGCCCATAAATCATTATCACCCTCTGAAAGCCCTCAGGGATCCAGGACTCCTGCAGCACTCGACCATCTTCTTGGTTTCATAAAACAAGCTGGCTCCAAGTCACAAGATCCCCATCACGTTCCCCACCATTGTCATGGCATTAGGATTTTGTGCACAGAAACAAATGGCAAAGTCCCCTGCCTTCCCAAGCTGTCACATTCCCGTTCCAACCTCTGGCAAGTTCCCAAAGCAAGGAGTTTTACAAGGATCTGCATGACCGGGGGTTTAAAATCTCCTGTTGAGTCTTAGACATGAGTTCCTGCCCTGCCTGAGGATCTAGAAAATCAGATCTACAACTGCAAAATAAAAATCAACTATCTTGGGACGTTAGTGAAACATTTGGCCCTCCAGATTTGCCATGGAAGAGCAAGAAGGATTTAAGGAAATTGAGATTTTAATAGCCCTCACTCATGGATGCTGAGAGCTCCAAGCTGAAGCTGGGGATCACCCTGAGTTACCTTTGTGGGCGTGAACCCTCTGCACCCACGAGAGAGGACAGGTTTTCATCACAGAATAGGGCACGCTGATAGTGTGCAGCTTGTTCATTACATTCTGAAAAGAAAGAAAAAAGATTTGTTAGGAGAGGGATCACAAAGTTTTTGAGTTATCAGAAATAAGAGTCACCCTCAGTCCCCATCATGAATTCACAGAGGTTTAGTCAGGATGATTCTGTTGCTCCCCCAGGGAACTGGCAGGGAGAGAAATGGGTGTTTGAACAGGTAATGGATTAAAATGCTGCTGTTATCACAGAATCATGGAATTCTGGAATGGGTTGGGCTGGGAGGGACCTTAAAGCTCATCCCTGCCATGAGCAGAGACATCTTTCCCTGTCCCAAGCCTGGCCTTGGACACTTCCAGGGATCCAGGGGCAGCCCCAGCTTTTCTGAGCAACCTGTGCCAGGACCTCCCCACCCTTACAGGAGAAGAAATTTTTCCTAATCTACCAAAAAAAAAAAAAAGAAAAAAATCTCGATTTTCCCCATCTAATCATTAATCTGAGATTACAGAGAGTTCTGGAAGGCTTCAGCTCACCGTTAGAATGCCATGCCACAGCCCTGCATCCTTCTTAAAATCCAACACGTTCACTATGGTTTCACCTGGGAAAAGAGAGGTGAAGTTGTCAGGTGCCAGCACAGCAGTGCCCATCATTTCTGCCGCCGTGTGCTCAGGGATGAAGCTGTCCCTGATGTGTCAGCCCTGTCTGTTGACACGTGTTCCACATCAGAGCTCCCTGCCAGGCAATTGCTGAGCAGGAACACGTGCAGGAGGCTGCAAGGAAATCACACTGCAGCCTGAAATGTCCAGCAAGGCCCCGAGGTTCGTTATGCACCAGCGGGGCAGGGAAGGGGAACCACAGAACATCATTCGAGCCCTGGATCTCAACAGTGATGGCAGCTCAGGTGATGGATTCTGAAAGGCAAACTTTGCATTTTAAAGCTCCATGACCTGCAGCTCTATAAATAGTTTCACTCGTGGATGGAGGAATTAGCTTGATTTACAAGGCAGATCAGAATAAATTATAACTCTGGAACAGCACCAGCACCTTCCAATCTCCATTTCTGGGTTACCCAAAAAAAAAACCCTCACAGGACCAGAACAGCCCCAGCCTCAGAAGATCTGGTATTTACTAAAATAAATATATTTTGGATATTTACACTATCAGCAATGAAATTTTGGAAGACATTTCTATGGGCCATCGGTGCAGTGAGAGGGGACTCGAGCTTGTTGGAAAATTCTCCATTTTTCATTCATTTGCTCCTCTTTTGGTTCACCAGAACAGACTCAGTAACTTCACAGACAGGACACAAATCCCACTTTTCACTCCTTTTCATCATGGCAGTGAAAATGATGCAGCTTTGGATGGAAAAACATCACAGCTAATTTTCACTTCTGGAGGAGAATTAACCTGCACTTTTAAACGTGATTTAGTTTTTGAAGTAAATATTGGTAACAACCACTTAAAATAATGTTGTCAACCCTTCATTCCTGTGATGTTCTGTGCCTTCACTCACCTTCAGAGTAGTTGCAGGCCTGAGACAGGGCCTGGCAGTGAGCCAGCATGGCCACACGGGACACGGTGACACCCATGACACTGCCCTCTTTGCTGGTCTTGTACTGCACGGGAGAGAAAAGAGTCAGGGGAGGCTCTGGGTGCCACACAGGAAGGAAATTAAACCACAGAATCCATGTGAAAATCAAGTTTTCTCTAAAGCTGATGGTTATTGTGGTGGCACACATGGAAAATCTCCATGGAGATGGGAGAAAAAAATAAATGTGTTTGTGTTTATTTTACTGTCACTGCTGCTCATGACATCTCTTCCTGCTCCTGGAACAAAGTGAAAAACCAATCTGTGATTTCAGGATGGCTGAACCAGCACTTAAACCTTTGCAATCCCCTACAAGTTACCTTCTGGCATTTCCAGAATCAGCATCACCAGCAAGAACAGAGAATTCCAACTGCTGCAGGCTCAAGAAACTCCCAGAAAATGGGAATTACCAAACACCAAACCAGAGCTCAGCTGTCTCCATCCCTCACTTTTTGGAACAAAAACAATTCTTTAACTTATTCCAAGCAGTGCTCGAGGCCACAAAGGGATTCAAACCTAAAATGAGCTTCCCAGCAGGATGCCCACAGTGAAAGGTTTGTTTAACAGTGGCAGCAAAGTGGGAAGTTGAAGGGAGTGAGGTGGAGCTATTCTCTCTCTCTGGTGATGAGAACATTAAATTCAGCTCACAGAAGGTATTTTCTATTCCCCATTCACCACTTACCTCAATATATGCTGGCTCAGTTCCTGCTGCTGAGATGTTGGGCTGCCAGTCCTTGGGAGATTTGGAGAGATATTTTGAATCTGTCACAACCCATTTGAGTCTGGGCCAACCTGGAGCCAAAATTAAACGGTACATTAATATCAGTTTATTTATTGAGGGATTTATATTCTGCAAGAATACACTGAACCCCATCATTTGTCCAAGTTCAGTTACACAAGCAAAATTCCAAGCCAAGCCCAGCTAGCAGCCACAAAGTTCATCTCGTTTCTCATCAGGGAGTTCAGTGGGCAACAAGGTGCTTCCTCTCCTCAGGGAAGATCCCTGCAGCATTCCTAAATAAAGCTGGGGAATAAAACTGCCTTGGAACCTGCCAAATGGCACTGAAGGCACCTGAGGTGGCTCCTTGTGACCCCCAGTGTCAGACACTTGGGTGGATCTCACCACAAACACAAACCCTCCAATATTTTGGTGATGGGATCAGGAGTTTCCCCTTTACCCCCCCCAGGTGCCTTCAGAGTCCTGACAGCTCCTTTCAGACGGCTCAGCTGCAGCAAAAAGTAAAATCCAGAAAGCAAAAAGCCAATTTATGACCAGCTCACCTTTAAACTGCACAATTTCTCCATTCTGGGTTTTTGGGAGCCCTTTCAGACACACTTCAGTGGTGAGGGCCAGAGCAATCCCACAGCTCCCCAGCAGGAAACCAATCTGCTGCCCACCAGCATCCTGAGGGAGGAGGGGAAAAGTCACTCCCGTTCAAAGGTGACAAAAAATCAGCTTTTCCTTAGCAAAATCCAAGGTTTGACAATGCTCTGGGGGCTGGGGGAAGGAATGGCAAGGAGAAGGAGAAGACAAGGCATTGCCACACACACTCACACAATCACAAAATCACAAGTGGATCAGCTCGGGCTGGTGGAAGGTGTCCCTGCCCATGGCAAAGGATGGAACTGGACGGTCCCTAAGGTCCCTTCCAACTCAAACCATCCTGTGACCCCCATGAAACGTGGCATTGGCAAAATTAAAACGCACTGGATGTGAAATCCAGGGAAAACAAATGCTCCTGCCCAGCACCCAGGCACGGAGCACATCCCCATCTACAGCATTAATGGAAACCCAGATGCTGCAAAGAGGAATCAAAAAAAAGAAAAAAAAAAGCAAAACATGTAATTACACTGGGATAACAAGACCTCTGTATCCCCTGGAGCCAATTTCTGTTGCACAATGACAAAATGAGGAGGCTCACTCAGGAACTGATTGGGCAAATACTGGAGAAGTTTTAATTTTGCATTTGGTTGCTATAGCAGTCTGTGACAGTGCAGAGAATGAAATCAAAGCTCTGGGAGTCCCTGAGTGCTCCCAGCTCACTGTCACCTCTCCTGCCATAATGTTTGCCATAAGACTCCTGGTTTTGTTTCCTCCTATGGTTTCACACAGTTCCTGACATGGCAGGAACATAGCAGCAGTGCAAATATTTTTGCAATAATGCAAAAATTCTGGAAAGGGTAAAGAAAGCACTTTGCTGAGTAAATTATTTACAAAAAGTGCCTTGAAGTCTTTAGGAACACTGAGCATCTTCATCTCCAGCAAAATCAGAGCCTGGCAGAGCTCAGCAAGGCTGGACTGAGCCCCCTCCCATCAAGCAGGGGGCAGATCCACACTGTAATCTATTCTGTATAAATCATTTGCAATAAGGAAGTGAAGACTGCATCATTTAGGAGAATTGACCATGTCCAGCTGCTCAGCACAGCTCTGCTCAATATGTTTTTCCATTTTTAAAATGCCATTCCAGGCTCCCAAAGGTTTGTTGAGAGCTGCTCAGGCAGCAGCTGGAGGCTGTGAAATGCTGTCAGAGCCTGATGGCCTGGCTTGGTTTCCATCCCAATCACTCCTCCAAGTTCCATCAACGTTACCTTTCTGGTAAGAGGTACCTCTATAGGCACTGGGATCACTTCTGCCAGGAGACAGCCATAAAATGCCACCATGAACATCACAGGGTCGTTGTTGGGATACACAAGGGCTACCTGCAACCCACAAAATTCGAAATTCACACCTGGAGTGACTAAAATTCAGAAAACTTGGGTGTTATTTCACACTCTTCCTCCCACAGAATGTGCCTGAGCTGCTCACACAGTGCCTGGGCACGTGGAGGTTCACACACAGCCACGACACAGAGATCAAACCCTGCATTTCCCTCACAGCCCTTTGCTCTTGCTCAAAACCCAGAGCCAAGAAGCTGCTCACAGAGAAGTCAGGACTCCTGAAAAATCACACCAGTTTCTGTCCCAAACAGAAATTGCTTTTGTCCCTGGGCTTAGAGTCTCATGATGGGGTCTGTGCTAAATTCCAGCCCCCAAACCCCTCATTTTACTCCAGAGGGAGAAGCAGAGTCCCAAAGTCATTACCCTGTCTCCAGGTCTGAGCACAGGCTCGTTTTTGGTGCCCAGTTTATTAAGCAGGGTGTAGGCCAGCTTGAGACTCCTGCTCCACAGTTTGCCTGGAAAACAGAGAACAGAGATTTGCAGAGTTCTGGATCAGGCAGCACAAGAGAACAGCTCTCACCTTGGCTCTTTTTACCACCTGAGTTACACTGCTCTGTCTATTGATGCCTTGAGTTTTAACTTTCATATTTTCCAGATCCTGTTCTGCATTAGTATGTAACTCTGAATTTTATATATAGCAAGTTCTCCTCGCAGTTTAATCAGACAAAACAATCCTTTTCCAGCCCCACAACCAAGGACACTGCTGCAGCTTCAGGCCCAAAAAGTGCAAACAACACAAACTGAGGAGAGAAATCTGGGATCTTCATAACCTGGAACTGGAAATGGACAATTAAATCCAATTTGGAAATGGACCAAATCTTATAAAAATGTGAAAATTCATGACTTGGAGTCCATCTTGGGTGCAGCCACGTCCAGGCTCTTGCACTGCCCAAGGTGTATTTTTGAAGGATTTTTAACAAACCCCTATTTTATTCCTTTAACACTGTCCAGCCTCTGTTCCAAGCAGCCTCTCAAGCCATCACTACAACACCCACAAAAACCAGGAAGGTTTTTGGTTTTTTTTTTTTTTTTTTTCAACCCCACGAGTGCTGTCTGCAGTGCTGGGCAGCAGCTGAGCAGGGGAAGGAGGCTCAACTCACCATAGGTGAGGGTATAAACTGGTTTTCCTGTCACATCCAGGGCTGTCAGGCAGGGACATTTGGCCTGGGTGGTTCCCCAGCGTTGCAGAGCTGCTTCCAGGGCAGGAGGCCAATTACAAACCACGCCCAGGGGCTCTCCCTTCACCGGGGTCATCTGGCGACCCTCGGGCTTGGGCTGGTTCGGGTCGGGCTGGGGAACTAAAAAAAAAATAAAATAAAATAAAATAAATTCAATATTTCCATTTTCTATTGCAATATCTCTAATAGAATCCAAGTAAAATAATATTCCTTGTCTTTGCCCATTTGTCTACCTAGCAGTTCAGCTTGAAAGAAATTGAAAATAAATCTGTAGGAAATGAGGAAAAGTATTTAAGAACCCATTCCATCCCATTTCCTAGGAAGTCTCACACAAAACAAGACACCACGAGCAGAATCTTCTTACAGGATGTTGTTCAAAGGTGTTCAACACATCAGTAAGGAAAGGAAAACAGAACTGCAGAAAAGAAAACCTTACAAAATAATGCTGGAATGAAATGACCAGTGAGGAAAATCCCCTTTGGGAAATTAATTAAAATAACCTAAGCAAACGAAGGGGGCTGAAAAATCGATTTAAAGATTTTTTTTAAAGAAGTTTAGTGTTGAGGAGGTCCCCCAAAGCTCAGCAGAACAGTGAATTAACTGATTTTGTGTCAGACTTCATGGAGGCTGCTGCAAACACTGAATCTGAGTCAACCTTGAGAGCAACAGCACAAAGAACTCAGCTCCCTGCCTAATTCTGACAAATGTGCATAAAAACATTATCTGTGCTATTACCTTCCACAATTTCTTCAAAATCATCCACAAAGAATTCTTTCAGGGGTGGTCTTTTAGGTCTTTTCAAGGTGTTCAGCAGCTGCTGAATTTTTGTGGAGACTCTGCTGCTCACAGGAACACCTGGAGGGAAAAACCAGAGCACTGAGTGGCACATGCCTGGGATTTGGGAGAGTCATTCCCTGGCCACCTGCAGGGATTTGGGACTCCAGACCTCCCTGGGAAGTTCCAATAAACTCATTTAGAAGCCTGACCACCCTATCCATGGAGAAATTCCCCCCAAACAGCACAACTACGGCACAGAAGAAACACAAAAAACATCTTCGTGCTGACACCAAAACCATTGTGATTTTGTGAAGAGCTCCAAGGAGGCAAACCAGAGATGGGAGAATGAAC